TTTTCACCGACAAAAGAACGTGATCAAAATTTCAATGGTGATGGAAGCCCCGATGATTACTCACCTTGACTACATTGCTAATATTTACGTTGAGTATTTAATTGTATAAGCTTTAGTGAAATAAGTTTTTTATCACTCCGTGCCGAAAGTACTTTCTTCGATAACATCTGTTATCAAAGAAAGTAGTCTTTTCCCAAGCTCTAATTTAAAGCGAGGGAAAAACGATCAGCAGATTTTCCCTCTCGATTAGTTCTCTATTTACCCACTACGCGTGCATGTTTTGTTACGGTTTATTTTAATGATCAAAATCAGCTGTTTTCATTGTTGCACAATCTAAATGAATACAGAAACAAGCATTAGTTTGTTTTCCTGTGTTTTAGCATAGTGCGTGTTTGAAATTGCTCAAAATGTGACTAAAATGCCTGATGATTTGACGGAAACAGCTTCAGAAATAATTTATTATCAACCATCATAGAAACTACGGGAAAGAGATGAAGAGGAATAAGAACGTTTACAAACTGGTGCAAATAATTACAAACTGTTAAGTCAATTATAGGTGACGAAGAGGTTATTAATATATTAATCTAAAAAATCTATAATCGTTAAAATGGTCCTCGGCTTCACCTCGTACGTGAAAATAGCTCTCGCACCGGAAAATTCCACTTTTGGTCCTAGTAATGTAATATTCTATTCCATTACAGAAACATACCGTTATAGAGACCTATTTTTTCCATTTGTAGTTAGATTGATAAACAGATTATCCATTGCGTAGCTAAAAAACATTGCTGATCTCCGGGTTTTGATCCTTGACCTCCTGGAAGTTCTGCGCTTCAACCTAAGTAGGCCCTACCTAAGTCCCATATACCCAAGTTTTAAACAATTTTTAGGCGTGATTTTGACACACACAGTCATCTCATAGTTGAAGACTCTTGGTATCATAAAATAGTTTAAATTTGTATCCACTCATTTTTCGATGGATTCTTCATTACTTGCACTTTTAGGAAGTAAAAACTCAGTCGTGCACATGACTCTAATGCCACAATCGAGTGGTAACATGACTCTGTCGCTATGTAGCCCGACATCAGTGCAGCTCGGCTACATGTGCATTCTGCAATCACAACATTCTGATGGTGGCGTGATTTGGGCAATTTCCGCCTTCACACGCACGGCGACCAACTCTGCTCGCGACATAAAAACCTAAACCAAACCTCTCCACTGCCTAACTATACCAATTAGAAATATCGTTAAAGTTATAGTTTTTTCTGTGTTCGTCTTCAGTTCAACTTAAAATATTCAGTTATACAGGGAAAACTGTTTATTTCATACTCCGCAGAACTGGTCATTTTTTAGGTAGGATGAAAAATTTCAGCTAAAGTCGAAAAACATCTGCTGTAAATCTTTTTCATTTTTAAACTGGTGTTAAAGAATAAAATAGTTCTGATTAACGAATATAGCGTACTTTTATATCATAATCTAAATTATTTATGTTTATCATTGTGTGCCATGTTTTATTTCAAAACAAAATACCCCTCGGTCGTTTTTAGGCTAATTAAATGTATAGATATTTCTGCAATTTGAATTTATTATTTCGTTCTGTAACGTCATTAGAGAAATAATTTCCCCATTCTGTAATTTCCACGCAAGAAACACAGACCAAAAAATAGTTGCGTACACCAGTAACATCGGTTTGATCATGAACGATAGACGCAAATTTGGGAGCTGATTTATAAGGATAAACAAAATACAGCACTTTATTTTTGTAAAATATGATGCTTAAAGAATGGTGCAGTAAGTAAAAAATATATGGTGAACCACACGAGCCGAAAGGATTTTTTCTTCTCTCGCACATTTTCCAACTTTAAATTCGTTTCTGTTGCTTTGCTTGTGTCGATAAGAGTCACTTGGTGTTGAGATAGTTTAGTGTTGACATTTACTTACATTTGATTTGTTAATCTCCTGTTGACATTGGTTTTATTAGGAATCGGATGAGAATTGTGTGGATTTGATTTTGTGGTTTGTGTTTTGATTCATCTAGTTGTGTGCATTTTAATGCGTTTTAATAGAGTTTAATTTTCTTTATAAACCAAGTAAACTAATTCTAATGCAACCTTGTTTGTGTGTTTCGCATACTTTAAACTGTCGCATTACATTATTATGTGGTTTAGTTAGAATAATTACAGTATTATTTGAACATGATAGTTCATTCTTTTTAATATAGGTATTTCTAAACATGTATAAGTGCATTTATGTGCCAATACTCTTGGGAATGTCGTTTAAGAATTCATTTGGCATTTTACATCACAATAAAAATAATGCCTTAAATAAAATATAAACTTAAAACAACTTTATTCGTCGAAAAATAACTTTTAGGTCAACCTTTATGAGTGTTGTGTGAAGGTTTTACTGACATATTTGACGGTTTTTTTTCAGCGTTCTATTGATTCTATTTAAGTACAATTAAGTGAAAGGCTACATACTGGTATAAGATTAAATACTTCTTGATCGATTAATTTCCATCTTATGTTTGCAAATAAGTTTGCTTATTGATTTGAATTACTGTATATTGATCACTTTAAACCCATCTCATAAAAACAAAATCAAGCATTGTGCTACAACACATACCCCTTTGCGTATATGAGGTGATTATATTTTATTTCGTTTAATTCCACTTCTAGGATATTCGAATGGGTAATATAAAAGCAATTTTGCATTGTCCGTTAGTAAATGTAATTTTATGTTTAAATTTTAACTCATAATGACCCAAGAAATCCATCAATATCCTCTAATTGCAAAATTGTGAATGTCTTCAAATTTTAAACTGAAATTTTATATATTTCCTTATTTGAGTTTAATGTTTCAATTTAGAGGCCTGGTAAAGGGAAATTTGTAATTCACACAGCTGTTGCCCACATCAAACTAATAAGAAAATAATATACAAGAGATCGAAAACAAGTGTAATGCTACATTTAAAAACATCCCAATATTTGCACTAAACTGTCCACATCCATATTGACCCTATATGAATGACGAACAAAAACTCACAATCGATCACGTGATAGTTCATCCCCTAACACAGCATCCTCCGGGGTGCATCCGCCGGGGGGGAGAGGGAGGGAGGAGATGCATCCATGCATATTTCACCCCGCGACCGCAGGCCGCCGTAGTTTCGGTATATTTTGCAATCGTTCGCGACCACGAAATATTTATGTGCTCCGGGTGAGCAGATTGCATTTGTCCTATTTATCAGTTCAGATCGCCATCGAATCTCGCTGCGGCGTTTGTATTATGGAACACCCTGCATATCCACAACTAGAGTAGTGGGCAGAGGCCGACCGCGGGGCGAAATTAGTTTCGGCTTAGGTATTTAGTCATTGAACTAGGTCGAATTTGGCTTTTGAATGTCGTTTGAAAAACTTTTAGTGCAGCTGAAATCTTTGAAACTATTTTCCTTTTATTATCTAAGCTACGCCAGTCGCATTCTTGTGAGGAAGAATCACAAACACGTTTAAGCGAAATCAGTCCAAAGCCCTTCGATTTTTGGAAATATTCCGGGGAGTAGAACTAGTACCCATCACACAAACGTCTTAGCAAATTTAGCAAACGCTTTTTAGCATATTTTAATAGGTGGTGCTAAATAATGTAGACTTTGAATTTGAGTTTGATATGTGCAAGGACTGATTTCGCCCACATTACAAGCTCAAGATCTGAGTAAAACAAAATCATTTATTTCTTAATTAAAGGAAAGTTTCTTTACAGTTTCAAGCGTCGAAGAATTCTTAGATTCCATTAACTTTGAATCAACTAAATTTTAAAATATTAGGTACCGGTATATTAGGATACACGTGATATTAGGATATTAGGAAGATATTAGGATTCACAGTATTTCAAATTTCAATCCAATTATAAAACTTATAAATGATAAAACATTGGCTTAGAAGTATCTTTCCGTTAGAAGGAAGGTAGTACTCTTTTGGCAGGAGACTTGTCATTACAATTTCGGAACGCCAAATATTCCTTGTTTTCCCTCGCTATTTAGCTAACTAATGGTTAAAAGATAATGCATCACAATAACTGTTAAAATATAAATTTGAGTTTTTCACTTATATTCCACAATGCCAACGAATCCTTAAATAGCAAATCCGTGGACTTGATTATTAACGTACATTTGTTATTTTCGAGGTCCATATTTGCATCACCGTAAAAAAATATATAAAGTCTTAAAATTTAAAAAGTTGTAAATATGACTAGTTATGAGTTTGTTGAAGGCTTATATCACCACAGCCCTTCTCCAGTTACACCCTCGACTCCCCCTTGTGACAAGATCGCTCCAAAACCAGTCCACTTCCTCTTACAAACTGGATGGTCAAGATCAAAACACTGCCCAATACTTTGTCTTTCCTTCCATCCTAGGTCACGTTATTCCTTTAGAATTATTAATAGTTCGCTTTACAAAATAAATTTAGATTTTTCTTCATAAAAAACGCCGAAACTCCTACACGCAGATTAACAAAAACTTACTGCAATTTCGTAAATATATAATTTCGTAGGTATACCCAAAATTAAAACTTAAATTTTATACAAATTATAGAATTAGATTATTGATTACAATTATCACTATGCGTACCTAGGTGCGTATTTCAACCCACATATGAGTGAAGGATGAGTGTAGAATGTTGTGAGATGATCTGTGTAGCTTTGTTACTGCCGATCAGTCGATTCACATCAGGATTCCCTGATAAATTATAAAATCTTGTGCTTTGTGATAATTATTTTAACTGCACTTTATATTTTGCGGTAAAGTTACACATTCAATGAAATGTTTGTAGGATTACCTAGTCATGGATAAGGTTGTCTTAGAAATATTTAACTACTTTAACTTATTTTCACGATATATGTATAAATGTGAGTGTCGAGGTGAGTTAGTTTTAAGATTCTTGGGTAGTTTATGGATATTTTCGTGTTTGTTTTTCCGGGTATTGAACATTTTTGTTTCGTTTCAGGGAAGAGCTTCAGCATCACGATCACAATATCCTGCAACCCTCCTCAAGTCGCCACCTACAACAAGGCCATCAAGGTCACCGTGGACGGACCCCGGGAACCTAGGTCCAAGACCAGTGAGTAACTTAGACATGCAAGTTTATAAGTACGGGTTCTCTGGATGCTGAGCCAACAACTGATTTTATAGTTAAATTACATAAAAGTTAGGGAAAGCAAATAGTCGACGAAGTTCATGACCATTTTACTCAAATTTCATTCTATTGTGTCACTCGCGGCTATTAGAACAGAAACGGTATCGATCATAAATATAATAAAATTGTATCACTGACTTGAAAGTAAACATGTTTGTATTTATATTTATATCAAACTGTCAAAAAAACTGGCAAGCCATTTTTTATTAGTATATACTTGGGCTAGTGACGTCATTTAAGATACATACAGTTTCTGTTCTAATATCTACACATCCGTTACACTAATGGTTACAAAGTCTATGGGACGAATACAAGTAATAAAAGTAGGTCAATTTCATGATCATAAGTGACCATAACATGTCACAAATGTTTTGATAAAATAAATACTCTAACATAAAAACCCATAGTTATTGACGACCCTTTTGAATTTACGTTTCCAAAACAATCATGTAAAATTTTCAAATCCAGTTTAGATTTTTATTTGGCAATACTTTGTTAGTTACTTGACCAAATGTAATAAGCAGAAGGACCCGAAACTACTTAACCTCGGCATCCGTCTGACCGCGCTACTAGGACCTACTACTACTGGAAGTAGTTCGTGTGAACATGATCCCTTCTCTCCGACCAAATTACGTCTTCAATTTAGTGAAAGGTGTTCAACTGAGATGCCGCTTATTGAGACCAAATTGTCCCATTGGCGACAGCTTTCTTCCACTCTTATGTAAATTTACTCGGAGGATTCAGAAATTGCGGAGAAATCCCACAGTAAGTCCTGTTTCTGTCGAAGCTATACGTGGAATGAAAAGTCATATTCAATAGGAAAAGTTGGGGTTAATGGCCCTTTCTCATAGTTAACATAATATGTATTAATAATTAACATATAACAATTTAACATATAATATATTTTTAAACATATAATAATTTACGGTAACTTACTGTTGTCCACTGGTCATTGTCCAGGCATAAATTACATAAAATTATATCAACCCGAGTTCTAGCCAGCCGAAGTAGTACGTTTTTAATGCAGATCTTTAACTAAAAACAGTAAAGAAATATTAAGCCTAAAAGGATATACATACGTATATGTTACAGTAGTGATGTTATTTGGACAGTAATTTATAGTATTTGTATCATTATGATTTATGTATACTGTAAGGTGTATAAGGGATTTGGTATAAGGATGTCAAGTCTTGAAAGTATAAAATGCACTAGTCAAAAAGTTTACAAGAAGATATTTAGGGATTCTTTTCTTTCAATCATCTTAATAACATATATTATTTTGCTATGTAGTTTTATGATGCCTTGCAGTAGTTAATCAGCTTACTGACAATTTCTGAATTATTTTTACAAAAAAAGTGTTACAATGTCTGGGTTAGGTAAAAACTGACCTTTTTATTGTAAATAATAATTTACATTAATTTTCTGATTAATCCAATGAAAACCTAAAGTTTTAATTGTTTTCTGAGTTATTGGCTGTCATAGAATGATTTACCTACTTACTTTTATACTGTACTTTACAATTAAACCACGGGAACCATAATTCGTAATTTGAATAAATTCCGATAGTCTGCACCTCTTTTAAACCATCTGGGTTGGAAAAAGCTACAACTAACTGTACTTAACCTAGAATATTGTATGATGTCTCCAAAGAAAAAATCATTACAATCGCGAGGAAATTTCAATAGCTTCTCCTATAACAATAAACACACACACACACATCAACAAATCACATTTATATACTTAAAACTAATTTCTTGAAATCAAATTGTAGTGAATACAAATTCGCCAAACCAATATTTTTTTCTTTTTTTCCTAGGACGCTAGGCACGAGCCCGGAATTGTTTTTAACATTACTTCAGGCTAGACCTAGGGGTTGCGGCATTATCACTTAGATAAAATCCATTGGTGATATGGTGGGATTTGAACCCGGGACCTCTGGAACCGAAGTCCCGCGCTCTAACCATTATACCAGCTCGCTCCCTCCGCCAAAACCAATATTAGCATATTTTGTAGCCAATAGTAATAACCCTACTAACCATGCATAACATGATTTCTTTCATACTATAACTATAACTATAATTTAGGGCAGTCAAAACTAATAGCAGTATTTGAGTGACAAAAAGGCGGGTAGCACGCCTAAACACGCTATTACCCCAGTTGTGGGGTGAGTGCGTGTGGATACAATAGCGCCACGTTGGGCGGTTGTACAAATTGGTATTCTAATTTAATAATGAGCCTAAACAGGCACATTAGGGATAACATGCGAGCTTGTCCGACATATGTAGCCCACCTTGCTTCCGCCGCGAAACGAATATGATCGGTTGTCAAAGTCTCGACCACACTGTGAGCGATTATCGATACTATTCAGCGATATCGATAATATGTTAAGTAAATCCATAATAGCCAGTACTATCGATACTATTTAGTGCTGTTCTATAATATTTGGTAATATCGATTAGTGTTAGTTCATACTATTCAGCATTATTAAACCCTATTCCCTATTCAGACATTTCTATACTATTTAACGATAATCGATAATATCAAGCGATATCAATCTATTTAGCAATATCATTAATATTTGGCTATATTGGTTAACAAAAAACGGTTGCATATGCATTTTGGTTTGGTTCAAACAGGTTTTCAGGTTTTTTCAAAAGTTTGGGAAACTTTGGGAGTACCTTAGGAAGGTTCTAGCTAATTTCTCGTTTGATATCGAATTGAAGATATGTTTATCTGGATAAGTTGTCAAGATAGTTTCCTTATACAGTTTATAGGATGTGTGTGTAAAATTAGTACACTTTGAATTATATTTTACAATTAAACTAGCCGTTATGAGTCTAATTATTTGTAAATTGTACCCAAATAAACTAGACAAATGTATTCGAATATTTCATAACGTACACTCAAATTAACTGTTATTTACAAATGATATATGTAGGCCTAATATATAAGTTTTTGCCATCGAAATAATTATTTGCGTAACTAATGGGCGAAGTGGTACTTTGCTGCACACGATAGAAATGTTTACACACGGACCTTAGGCGAGTGTGGAATGTTTCTCGAGTGCAGCAAAGACAGTTTACACTCGTGTTACACGTTATATTTTTCCTACATTTACTATAAATCATATAAATAATTAGTCTTTCAAACACTGTACAACACATTTTTTTAGGTTAGCTTAAAATGGTTAAATCCAAACATTGAACGAAATGGGAAACACTGTACCAGCTGATCGTAGTCGTAGTATCTTTAAGTGTTGCCAACTTATTTTCAAGCGTACACGGATTACGTGCATCATAAAAGCACGCTGTTTTGTGTTGATTGTTTGAAATATTGGTGTGCGCCAAAGTAAGGCATTCTGTACTATAATTTGTGCAAGGAAGCCCACTTTGTCGGGTGACTGTAGGAAAAATATTGTTATTCCACATTACTATAACTTTCAACAGTGGACTTGGTTACAAACCTGTATACTACCTGTACTTACTGAAAGGGCCACATTTCGCATGGTAAACATTTAATATATAAATACGTTTATGGTTAAGTATACAGTTAGTAAATAACCAACAACCCGTTGCCGGAATTACCATTATATATGGTAATTACCACTAAACCACCTACACCACTGACCACCTGATTTACTCGTAGAAAAGTTACATAATTACCATCCTATTCTTCTCAATGGCATCGCACTGTGCTGTTTAGAGTGCATTAGGTTTGTAATAGGTAGTATAACCTAATACTGACTGTTATACCACATTAGATTGCACAAGGCAGAGTATATGCGAGGGATTAGTCTAATTATTGTATTCAAATGTACTTTTAGTGTATTTAATTTTTGCACTTTTTAAAATGCAGCTTCTATGTTGGGTTTGATTCATTTTGTGTTACATTTTAGTTGAGAATGAATTTCATTAACATACCTTTCGATAAAAATAGTGAAACATTGTTTTTGTATCTAAACTACCCATTCCATGCATACATGAACCATATGACAAATAATATTTTTACGCAAAATAGTTACTGTATCCTTTACATTACGTATGAGGATTATTAAGTAAGGAGTAAATTTATTTAATTTGATCAATATCCTTTTATAGCATCATCTCATTAAATAAACCATTTGTTCTCTTTGTTTGGATAATGTTAGTAGTGTGATAGAAATCTGCACTATAAAATTATCTTAATTAATCCTATGGTTTGTCGTGGAGTAAATACCATAAGTATGAACTTCCTCATCACCTGAAAAAATCCCTATTAATGTTTTATGGATATGTGGACTACCAGCTTAAGGTGGCCTTTGGAGAATGTGTTATCACAATGTTAAAATCCATTATTTAACCGAGAGATGAAAAATATCCTTTGGAATCTTATGCGGTCGTTTTGTTGGAACAGACATCCCACTCTAATCTAGAACGACGAATCGAAAGGTTTACTCGTCACCTATATAACCTATATATTAATAGGCAAGCATGTTTCTTTAAAACCTTTTTTTCTCAGCTCGTGTGCATCGCAGGGATTATGTACGCATACTGATCGATATATATTTGCCTGCAGATATGCAAAATCCCTTTAATAATTAAAATAGACAAAAATAAGCGCAAATGAATTTAAAACTTTAAAAAGTTACCTGGGCCTTATGGATTGCCGTTGGTGACAAAATAACAACGATATATGAACAGAAACTCAAAACAAATGGAAGAAATACCAATCACATGTTTTATTTGCAGCGGGGGGTGAGAATAGAGAAGTCTGTACTTTACAAATTTTTTTAGAGTTTTTCAACCACGGAGTGACCTCTAGTTACTGTTATTCATTAAACAAATCTTAACCAGAAAGATCAAATACTTTTGATTTCCTAAAAAGATTGACCTAAATCATAATGTGGGCTAAAATTTACCAGGTTGTTATAACTTAGCTAATTACCT